TCAGCGCTGACGATGATACCTTAGGATGACCAGATCCTGGTTACAAGTATTCATGTGTCTGACCTTTGCAGGTGGTGTTTATCCAATATGTTGTGTGTACAAACTCGGAGTTTTTTGTTGTTAAGACATAAGTCAGTTTGCGTTCACCGAAATTTTTCCCTCTATGAACGCCGAAATCCAGGTCATTTTTATTTTTCCCGTTTTAGTTAACTCAAGATCCGTAATAACTTTATTTATTTGCGTTTTCCCGACTTCTAGAGATTCGCCAGAACATGTCACACCATGAGCTTAAGTGGTTCAGCAACTACTGCACTGCTCTGGTAGCCTTCATGCAGGCGGACGCCGACGAAATGGGTGGAAGTGGGGGATTGGATCTCACTCAGTCTCTCAAGCCTCCTAAGTCCCTTTTATTGGAGGTTCGCTGTCTTAAGGACTACGGGGAGTTCGAAACAGAGTGTGGTAAGGTAATCAATCTCACCAAGGGCAGTCAGCATCAGATGTTCCGCAGTGACTGCGAGAGTCTCATTCTACAGGGTATCTTGCAGCACATCATTGATTGACTGTGTCGTGTTCTGTATTTTTACAAATGCAACTTTTTTGACATTCTTTGTGGGCAGGCATTATCAGGCTTTTGTCTAGGCTATGGGACTTGCCTTTGCATGGATGGAATATTTCATTCCCATGATCGACATCCATGGGCCACTTATTATTCCCTTCAACCACACTTGTAGCTCAAAGTAACTTGAAGTGTTGGAATCTTCAATGTAAGCATTCCCGGTTCCGTGGCCGTTTTTTATGGACATGAATATAAACATTCAACGTCTCTTACTCTCCCGTCACTCCTGTTGTTATCTGAGGTGTCAGCCCTACGCAGTGATACTTTGCTATGAGAACCGGAATTTTCGATTCAATTTAACAGAGGTGTATCTTGTGCTGTCGATAACTTTACTGAGGATGGTTTTGCGTGGTAGGGAAGATAACGGACGTGATGGCACGCTAAATGTTTGAAGACAGTTATGTAGAAAAAACTATACTGCTCCAAGAGACGTCATGTAGTGCTCGAGTTGATATTATTTTTTAAACTTGCGAACTAAAGTGCTTAATTACTTAACTCATTTTGGTGTCCAACAGTTGCAAAATAACCGAGGTGACTGTCCCCGAGGTATGTTGGTATTTATGAGCACGAGAATTATGTACGAAGTGTCAGAGCGTCGCGTTAGTTGAAATAAAAGGTGTGCTCTATCCCGTAGGTCGGATATCTTGAATTATACGGTTGCACAGCAAACCTTGTCGGACAGGAAGTGAACACTGCAAATAGCGGTAGTCATACTTAACAGGAGAGATTAAATGATATTTATTTTCAGCATGTGCTTTGGTCGAATACAATACTCACCTGATGCTATTGCTTTATAATCACCTTAAGAGTTTCGCCACAAAACTGCCCTAGGAACTCGTATGACCAAGTCAACCAGGTAAACATGTAATACCTCCTTCACTCTTGACCACCTGACGTTCGGTGGTTACTTTAGTATTTGTATGGCCCTTGCACACGTGGACTGGCCTTCGGGCCATACACAGGTCTATTTGCTTTGTTCCCTTCTGAATACATGTATCTGATCTCACTCACTGTCTTCTTCCACCCTATGGAAAGTATCGGGACGCTACAGGTACCGCTAAAGGATTAACTCAAGGTTTTGGTGTAGGGTCCATACTGGTGATCAACTGCTGTAAGTGAGCTGAGTAACAGGACTCTCGCAAAGCGATAATATAATCCAGTACCAAAGATTCAGGTGCGAGGCCGGAATTCGACTCGATCGCCATGTCTGTTGGTAGCCCTTAATATGCCCAATAAAGACTCACAAAGAAGACCTTTCGAAGAGCCTTAGCGAAAGGATCCAGTGCCTATAGTAGAGCCTACTCAGATTGAATCGTTGGCGGACTTCGAAGAGTTATTTGCATTATTCTACAAGTTCTCCCATAAGATTTTATCGGTGAGGCAATGGAGATCGGAGCTCCAAAGAGTTATCCAGGCTAGTTCTGATTCGAAAAGAGCTTTATTTCGTCGGAGACTAGGCAAAAGATGCAAAAAGGATCTCTAATGGCTGCTGTTCAAAACGTGTCATGTGGGGCTGTCCGGTCAAAAACACATCCGCTCACCTGCCTTGGCAGATTGATTTCTCCTCGCTGAAACATGCGCTATCGGTCAACTCATCGAGGCGGCTACCACCAAGCATCGAAAAATCCCAGCTTCGAATTGAGTTTTATCCCAAACTGTCATAGCGGATGCCACAACGATGGTCCAAACCCTCAGGTTAACAAAGTGCTCCCCAGACAGCATTTCTCTTTGTCATGCAAACTATTTGTCGCATGCGTTCATTAGGGTATCGAGTAAGATAAAGGCCATCCACCCGTTTCACTTCTGGACTTGAGGTACGGCTAGGTCCTTATCAGTTTCTAGACTTTCCCGACGTTTTGCAACAAGATACATATCTCACCATGGTTACAAAACTACGCTCCACAGGAGGGTGGATCACGGCAAAATGGAAGGCAGGAGCAGCTGGGTCGTGTGGACGAAAAAAGTATGGTAGGGGCTGCTGACCTTTGACATTTCCTCGTGCTACGTCTTCGAGCGTTCGCATTGCACCGCTATTGCACCCATTCAAGAGAATAGACATAGACACTATCGATCCGCTTCCAGTGACTGAGAGGGGATATGGCTATATTTTTGTAGTGCTTGGCTATTTCACTGAAGTAGCAAAGGCAGAACTAGCAAAAACAAAGGATGCTGACAGAGTAGCAACTACTCTTTTATACCTGCCAAGATGGTGCACTTAAACCGGATCATAGCGATCAATGCTTTAATTTTAAAAGTCAAATTTTTGCAGAACTGTGCAAAGTCGTATGAACTAGTAAAACGCTAAGAAATCTTTAGGGTAGGAGAAGAAGGAGTAGTCCTGTAAGTAGATGAAGTGAGAGGGATGGTATGGCTAGGTGAGTGACAAATCCTGTTGTCCTCGCACATGCTTTGTCACTTTGAGCGGACGTATCCCCGAGGCAATAGTCTAGCCGATTGTGATGTGTGTGGGTTGTGTCGTGACCAGGGTGAAGTTGTCTTTCGTCAGACACAGCAGTGTGCTGCAGAACGTGCTTAATTCTATAGAGCCTAGATTAGCCGCTCCAAACGGAGTGGCGGCCCTCTCACATCTGTCATGTAGGCTGGCTTAGTACGGGTCGTCTCTGGTTCTCAAACCTAAGGGCATATACGTTTTGCCTGTGTGACCACCTACATGTGTGACGGTTACTTTGGCATTTGTCTTGCTCTTTTGCGCTTGGCTAGCCTTCGGGTCAGGTCACAGACCAATCACTCCCTTTTCATCCTTTACTACACGCATTTGGCCCTATCCTAATGCCTTCCTCCACCTAGCAGAAAGTCTCGGGTTAGTGTGATGGTTACTTTGGTATTTGTCTAGCTCTTAAGGTTGCATGCAAGCAACCCCAAATTAATGCCTTTTCTTGATAGAGAAGTTCGACGAGTTACAGAGGTTCACTATTTACATCAAAAGTCGAAAACTGAACTTTTAAGCTTAATTTTACATTTCATGTTAGTAATATAGTACTTTGTCATATTGCTAAAAGTACAACGCAGCATCGTTTGCGCATGTGTCTTTGACCAACTCTCCTGGCGAAGCAGCGGTGGTTCTGGTTCTGATCGACTGTTTATCACAATCTTTTCTCTAGTGATCAGGGTGCTGCATATCTACATTAGCTGAGATATGGCGCAGGATGATCAGAGTGCTTCTATTATACCTCTTATCTTGAATTATGCGTTAGGATGGTGTAATGCTTTGTTCATGTGACCACCTGATATGTAGCGCTTACTTTAAGATTCGTCCGGCTCTTGTACGTGTGAGATTGCCTTCTGGCCATGCTCAGGCCGAGTTGCTTTGTTCTCCTTAGAATAAATCTATTCAGCTCCACTTACTTCCTTCTTCTACCCGGTGGGAAGTCTTGGGATGCTACAATGATGGCAACGGAAAGCAAAGTGCGGTTTGGATGGGGTGCATTTTCATCAGTGTCTGGAGAATCTCTGACTACTTCACAACAAAAGGTTAGGACTGCCGTCTGCGTTTGGTTTCAACTCATTTCATTTTCCACAGACAAGCTATCAACAACTGAAGTGACATCACCGAGAATCATCTGGGAAAGTTTTTTGTCAAAACTTCCCTCACTTAATCCATATACAGGTAGCGGAAATGGCAGTATTGTTTTCCTTATGAACGTGAGAGTGTCTGATCCAGTTTACATTTTAGTGCGCCTGTTTTGGACCAGAAGTCCACAGTCTTGGCCTGGAAGCAATTAACAGTAAACAAATTTATACGACCTCGGTTTTTGCTTTGGACCGAACGTAATTTCAGATCCAGCAAAAGCTGCCGAGGAGACCAAATGCCCTTCTTTAACATTATGGTAGCTGCTGGCCAGCCCGGCTTGCTCGAGGGTGCTTTATTGCAGTAGCGAATGTGTTGTAATGGCTGGTGTGGGAGGTGTACCAGGAGGAGCGCCGAGAACGACGCTCTAAAGAAGGGCGGAGCAATACTCTAATGCTTTGTTTATGTGACTACCTGACGCTTGGCGGTCACTTTAGGATTCGTCTGGCCCTTGTACTCATGGGCTGGCCTTCGGGCCATGGTCAGGCCCATTTGCTCTGTTCTCTACGGAATACATACATCCGGCAACACTTACTACCTTCTTCCACCCTATGGAAAGTCTCGCTACGCTACGATCGCAACATTTGCTTATGTGGCAATCTGATGTCCGATGGTTGCTTCAGATTTGTCTAGTTGTTGTGCACGTGAACTGGCCTTTGGGCCATTCTCAGGCCTAAGTTCTTTGTTCGCTTTGAAATGCATGTATCCGGCTTCACTTACTGCTCCCTTTGTAATGCTTTGTTTATGTGACTATCTGGCATATGGCGGCCACGCTCAGGACCATTTGTCCTGTCGTCTTCGGAATACATGTATTCAACCTCACTTATGCCTTCTTCCGTCCTATGGAAAGCCTCGGGTCGCTACACCTTTCTCCAATTGCCCAGTCTTGGGCCGCTACAATTTAGCCCTTTGTTTAGTTAATAAATTCTAGCTTCTTTAAGCGTTTTCGGACATAAAATTTTAGGCACCGTCGCAAAGTTTCAGACTTTTCCAAGATGATAAGGTGTAAAAAACCATATCATTATCTGAACAAAGCAGCTGCTTTTCTAATAAGACTGCATCACTCACCTTAACCCCTATAATTAAGTTAATAATTTACATCAAGGTCATTTCTAGAGAATCTTTGTTTTAATTGGCTAGAGGCCAGCGGTTCGCCCGCATATTCTTGGTACTGATTCACGCCGTTCTAAAATAGTGTAATTGGGATGTATGGGAGTATACATGGGGAAGGTGAGGTAGATAGTGCCTCAAAACGTCTTGTTTCTGTAAGTTGAACGAAATGGTTGATATTATGGATCATAGACTCTGGTTCCTGCTGTTGCCCAAGCTGTTAAATTTTCTCATGAATTTCCTACTAATTCTACTCCTGCTTATACTTATTACAATGATTTTGCCGAATATCGAGCTGTGATGGATGGAAATTGCAGCAAAATTTTGATGACGTGAGCATTTGCTTTTCTGTTACTTTGTAGAATTCAAGATGTCATAGATGAATTGAATGGAGGGGCAAACATCATGGACGCACCGCAGCCTAAGTCATTGGAAGAGAAATTCAACACGATTGTGTCTATTAATGATGAGCTTGTCGATCGCATAGTATGTTCGTATAAGTCGTCTTAGTTAGTTGCAGACTGTTGCGTTGGATAAGGAGGAATTTCCAGACAGAGCGAACAATAGCAATGCTCAAAATTTTCTGGTTACTCTGGATGGGGAGCATACATCTCTGTCTCCGAAAAAAGTATCATATTTTGGTTTTGTAACAGGTTGTAGAATGATTTTTCATCACCTGGTTTTAACCCGAACAAGCGTAGAGGCGATGTGGTTGGTCGAAGTGCCACTAAGCTCTTTGCTTCTAAGCACATTGTTCGGCCGCAAAATTTCTTTGCTATTCGACCAGATAACAGTCATGCACCTTTTCTCCCTATTTTAAGAACGAAACCGAATGCGCTCGTCGATTTGCAAGGTATCTAATTCGGCTGATTTCCAACACTTTAAATTCTTCAAAATTTTTGACTAAGTAGTCTTTTTTTGCAGATTGCACATTTGAAGCTGACCCAGAAACTGGTGACTACATCCACCCATATCTGTCAGAATTGGAGGACTACGGGAAGGGGTTGGGGAACTACAAGTATGATGGCTCTGCATCTAATCCAAGGCCACTTCCTCTGGATGAAACACCGTTGGATGTTGTTGATACCGTGGACTCCCTAAACAAAATGCTGGAGGAACTGAGTACTGCATCGGAAATCGCTGTTGACTTAGAAGTAATTGGTGGATTGGGAATGCTTGATCATGCACTTTGAACGATAGCTTACTTGATTCCTTCTTCATTTTCAGCATCACAGTTACCGCACCTTTCTGGGAATTACATGCCTGATACAGGTTTCCACGCGTGCCAAGGATTATATCGTTGATGCTCTTGCTCTGCACGACCACCTTGGTCAATTGAACTATTTGTTCACTAATCCCAAAGTTGTGAAGGTGCTTCACGGTTCAAATTTGGACTTAATGTGGCTCCAGCGAGACTTTGGCGTCTACATCGTCAACCTCTTCGATACTGGTCAGGCAGCCCGGATACTTCATTTTCCTCGATTTTCGCTTGCCTACCTCCTGCAGCGTTTTGTTGGAATTTTCCCAAATAAAGCATTCCAATTAGCGGATTGGAGGATAAGGTGGGACTATTGTTCTCCAGCATTTGAATTAATTCTTGATTCTGTTATATATGCGAGTTGGGAACGGAGGCCTTCAGAAATTGCGTTTTTGCATTGGTGTGAGTAGTTAGGGTATTTAGCTCATTGGGACATCGTTTTCATCGCATTATTGTTTCCTGTTTAATGGTGCTGAGGCAGTCGTTTGAGTCGTTTGAGGTAAGTCAACTGTCTTAAAAATGTCATGGTGTAGGGACCTATCAGTGGTTTAATTCCCGTGATACACAAGAACTGAACGATCACAATTTTTGGTAGCATAAGCATGGGTACTCGTAGCTAAAAGCTACAAGGTAAAAGCTAGATTATGTTGAGTGGTATATTTGTTTTTGGCTCAGTAGTGATTGGTGCCCGTTTCTTTAATCATTGTCTGAATTTGTTCCCCTTAGACCTCTTCCCAAAGCGTTAATAGATTATGCCCGATCAGATACACACTACTTACTCTATGTGGCTGAGCTACTTCGTGGCCTGTTAGCTGGTCAAGATCTGTTGACTGAGGCTCTGGAACGCAGTCAGGAACTGTGCCTACGCGTAAGTGTCGATTCCTCGACCTAGTTCTTTTATGTTCTCCCTCCCTACCTTTCTTCCATTTTCTACCTTATGTTAGATTTACAAGAAACCAAAGCTCAACACATTGGAATATCTATCAAAAGCACATACAGTCGTCAGAGGGTCTCTGGATAAGCGCCAACTGTACGCTCTTAAGTATCTGTGCATTTTGCGCGACTCCATTGCACGAAAAGAGGACGAGAGTCACGCGTACGTCTTCTGTTTTATCATACCTTCTTGGTACAACTTACAGATCCTTTGTGACTTATCTACCTATTTGCAATAATGTCATAACGTACACTGATTGTCCATTAATTTCATACTTGATACTTGGATATTGCGGCAGCCAAGGTGCCAGGGGATAGGTCCCAGTTTCATTTTGAGCGCATTGTGGAAACAGCCATGCCAAGTTGTGTTTTCGTCCCCCCCCCCTCCGTTTAAAAGGCGTAATTAAGGGTTGTCAGGCTATCAGTGATTATGAAATCTCGGCTCGACAATCTGATTACCCCTGTTTGGAGTGTCTGACATTAAGGCTCGTCATGATTGCCGTTACATTGTGTCTTGAAAATTATTGGAGATTTTTAAAAAAGAACTTACCATATTGGTGGGACATTTTCCAGACTTGATTATGTAATGTTTCGAAAATGCGTAAATGTCTCACATCTTGTTCTTCTCCATTTTCAGTTTTGTCCTTCCCAATCACATGATGCATCAGATAGCAGAAAAGCTCCCCAAGTATGCTCCTTTTTCCAATTAACTATAGACTCTACTGTTTGTAATTAGTAGCACGATCATTTATTGATTTTGTCCAGAGAAGCAACTGGGATGTACGCTTGCTGTAATCCGGTGCCACCTCTGTTGCGCAAATATGTGTCAGACTTCCACCAGGTCGTTCTTAATGCTAGAAACGGCAAGTACATTGAGCAGGTAACTCTTCTCACGTCTCTTTCATGGCAACTTGGTACTTCTCCATCGTGACTTCACTCTGTTCTCTTCAGGAAATTGATGGTGATATAGTCATTTTGGAATCGATTACTCCAGCAAATTCAACTCTTAATGTGGTCCCTTCGTGTATAACTGCGTCGCGCTCTGCACCCCATGACATTTTGCGTTCGGCTACTCAGCAAATGCCGATCTCCAACTTTTGTCCGAGTAATTATTCTTTTCTCTAATTTGATTTCAACGGTTATGCTGCGGGCCATTAAGCATCATCACTTAAACTCCAGATTCTCTGAAGAAGAACTCTCTGACAAAGCCGTCTTTGTTTGGACGCAAATTCCCTCAATCTCCGAGACCGATATTTGAGGCTTTCATGGATCCCAGTCGCTTTATGCTTCAGAAGGTACCATAATATGCTTTTTGTTAAGGCATAAGGCACTTGCTTGCTCATTCCACTCTGATTTTTCTTCCAGATTTTGGATGCGGTTAAATCGGTTCAAGTATCAGAGCCCATGCCAGCGGAACAGGACATATCCTTTATGTCAACAGCTCATACTTCCACTATATCGGCATCAGAAATTAATGAAGATCCACTTTATAAAGCTCTGCCGGTGGAGTATCCCTCGATTTCTGATACTAAGGGGTTTTCGCCCATAAAACCCACTACTGGTGAATACAACTCTCCCTGCTTTTTTATTCCCTCTAAATGCGTATGAAACTCATTGCATCTGCATATAGAGGAAATAATTTTGAAGTTGATATTTTCCAGGTAAATTTATTCTTGCTTTCCATCCTCAGCGGAGGTGATTGAAGTGGAGGATTTGGGATCAAAATTCTGTCCAGTGAGTACCACTTTCGGTCGGTCAGCTCAGTCTCGTGCGTTGGCAAATCTGAAAAATAGACGTCAGCAAAGAAATCACTCTCCTAGACGGAACGAGGACTTTGATCATAGTCGGCTTGCAGGTTCTCAGGAGAGTGGCAATGTCATCACCGAGAACGATGTTGTCGTTCTTCGGGATCAAAAGGTTGGTGCAATATTGTTATAGCGTTTATGCTGGAAACTGAAAAGTGAAGTGTCTTTTGAAGCGATTATTTCGATTGCAACAGTAGTGTAGCAAAGATATTCTTTTCGATGTGATTCTTTTTCAAGTCCGTCAGTAACACGTTCGTTGGCAAGGGGCCTGGAGGTAAGTCTATTATCATTTGCGGAAAAGAATGTATAAAAACGGCGTTCCAAGCCAAGATAACGTACCTAGCTTGTCACGCAATTCGGTTCCACCGGTCATTGTAGATGGATAGATGTCATAGTGCACGTTTGTAACGTTGATGGCAAAAGTATGAACGGTGGATACCGCGGACTTTGTGGTTTTACGATCATACCCCTTGTCCAAAAAGTGGGGAGCCCAGCGTACCATGGTGTTGGTTGAATCGTGAAAAGTGCTTCGAAGAGGTTTTTTGCTGCTGTGTTGCTATGACTAGTGTTAAATTGCTGCTATTTTCCTACCAGTAATATCTTATTTTTACTGAACCCAGTCAGCTCTTTCGAAAAGCGAAGAAGACACACTTTGTATTCACGGTGTAGCATTTAGCACGGAGCTATTTATTTTGTCTTATATCAAATCTAACGTTTATATTTGGTTTTCTTGAAGAAACTGACAAAGAGCACAAAAGCGGAGGTTCGGCAAGGCAATCATAGCGGTATGACAGCCAACTTTGTCGATAATCCATCGCAGCCGGGTGAGATTTGTATTTCGATAGCTGGAGGTTAGTAAATCACTACAGTTCACTTGCAAAACGGCGTTTTTGGTTGGATTACACTAGGCCAATCAACGCAGTCGCCCTGTCCACCTCTGACCCGTTTGGAGATTCCTATTACCCCGGAGATACAAGCCGCGATCCATCAAACTCCAAGCTTTTCAGGTCGCCGGAAGAGGCGTAGTAGAGGCGGTCGTGGAGGTGGCGTCACTGGAGCTTGTAGCAACAGCCTCCGCGGTTGTGTCTCCTTCTCCCATTCCGGTTGCGCAAGTTTTACTCCTCCCCAGCCTCAGGTAAAACCATGTGCCGTTCTTCACTTAATTCTCAAATCCTTTAAACAGTTAAAAATGACTTCGAGATTTGTCCTCTTGCGGCAAGAAAACGGTTAGGCTAGCTCTAGTCGTATGTTGTTTTGTGTGTACATGTGTGCCTGTGCGTCGACTGTTTAAACCACCTTGCACTAGGTGTTTGTGTATGGAATGTTTATTTGCATCCTTTGTTTTTCTGCCTCTGTGTGTGGGTGTTGGTTCGGACTGGCGTTTTCGTTCGTGAAAGCGGTGGAGTGTCGGTTGGGGGTGTGGGAAGTGACTTTTGTCTGTCTCAGAAGTGGCGTTTAGAGTGGGGAGTGGGCACTCGCGGTTGCTTTCCTCCTTGTCCTCCAGCCCAGTTGACAGCTCAACGCATTCACGCAGAGAAGAATGAATAATAGTAGAATTGCATAACCTCTATTATTTGTCTTTATTGGATGCAAGGAATTATTTTCCCTCATTGCAAATATATTTCGACTTAATTAAAGCAGAAATCTTACCCTCTGTGCCTTTCATGTATTTATGCTAGGATATTTTTACGACGTTTCAGTCATCTATCATAACTATTTTCCTCAATAAGAAGGATTACTGTAGGTAAACTAAACCTTGATCTTTTTCGATATAACGTTAATTGACCGAAGATAAACACGGAAGTCATCTTAGCATGACCAACATTTTTTGCACTTGTCCTTCCGTTTTCACCTCATATGGAAAGCCTCTTATTTCCTTTGTGGTCATTTTGATTTAAGGGGAATGCTGTATTTTGGGTCGGATTTCTCCATATGATTGCAATATCCCTCAAGGGCATCAGGAAGTTGCTCCAATATTTATTTTGCCATGCTCATTCGAAGTCATGAATGTTATGGAAGGGTTGCTTTGCGTTGTCTTTCTTTTTTACGAAAAGTTCCACCTCGCACAACCCCTACGCGCAATTGACTGCACTTTAGGCGTGCGTGTAAGATGAGGCATTCTACATGGCGCTCGAGTGTTCACAAAATTTAATCCTGCGGCTTTGGATTGGATTATACTCATGATGATAATTATTTACAGATGTACAGTCCTTTCAGTGTCTCGTATGGCGTGCTTGTTTGCTATCTTTTATTCACGGGAGACTTGGTTCATCATTCCACACACGCCGTTTTATGTGCGCCCTCAGCACCGCTACTATCTGTCGACCTGACAAAGCACCTGTGCCACTTGTGCAGGCCCATTGCTATTGCCTTTTGCGATTATTGGACCTAAAACCTAAGGCCTTTGACTAACTTTTAAATTTCCTTCTTGTACTTTCCGCTCTCAATTTCCGGTCTCTAACCGATGCCTAAGTGTTGCCCTCCTTTCTTTTCGTTTTAGAAGAAGCGCAACAACTGAGATGGTTGGGGTGAGGTGAGAGACGTGCACCGGCGATGTGATGTAATGCGAACCTCTCTCTCTGTATTTTGTTTTAGTGTCATTATTTTGTTTACCTATCGATGCGGCTTGTAGAGTGAACAGAACAGCAAACAGAAAGCGTTTTGGCTTCAGCTGCAGATATCATGCGATTTCCTTTATCCGCTGTCATTTATCTCTTTTTCGACCACAGTCAAGTGGGATGAGTGGGAGGTGGGAGAGGGCTGAAAATAAGGACTAATCACAATCGACAAATTTGAGGTGGGTTTGTTGCTGTTTTCTCGCCAACAACAGTCACATTACGATGGTAAATTTCAGGGCATTTAAAGGGAATCACACACATCAACATGCATAGCTGTGAGCCTATTTTAAGTTGTGAAACTCGTGCACTAGTTAATGGGATTGTTCATGGTCTAGAACTGCTTCATATTCTCTTTGTTTCAAGTCCGATAAACGTGTTCTGCACACTGGTCGCCGAGAAATGACAAAGAACGTGTCATATCTGACAGGCAGCGCAGTAAATGGGACGGCGTAGATATACCATTGGGATGTGCTGGGCTTTGCCCATCACTTCAGGCAACTGCTATCAGGCCGGTCAAAGATTTAGGTCAAAGTTTAGGCGCTGTTTGGACAACATTTAGGGCATGTGGCAGAAGGGGGGATGAGGTGGGCGTCTGGTTGGAAGTGGTGTCTTGCCATTCGACCCAAGAGTATTTGAATGAGCCAAGCATTATTGTCACCGGGTTTGTGACGCGGACTACATAGCAGTGGTGTTGGTATTGTCTGCTAGTCGGCTCTCTCGTGGCGAAATACCAAGACATGGCGATGGATGAGTTAGTGAGCGGTTTCCTCTGAGTGCGCAACAAATGGTGTTTATGCACGCAAAGTTGGTTGCAGAATGCCTGTCGTGACCAGCAAATCTGGACAAATGCCTGTCCGTGATAATTACAGGCAAATGTTTGAGAAATTTGGTCTGGTTTCGTGCAGGCATGGTTTTAAGTGCACAGTTTAGTATCTTAATCTGGTAAGGTGATTCGTAGTCACTTTTGGTTCATTTGAGTTTTCAGCGCAATAGGAAAAGATTAGGGTGTTTGAGCTTGAGGTTCTTTTCAAAATCTTTTGATTGTCGCAACCAGGAAGACCACGAAGAGCAAACGTCCTTCACATCTTAGTGATTCCCAAAGGCATTACAAGGCTTTGCGGTCGAAATATACGTGGAGTCAATAAGTCAACGCATCATCGCTACCATGAAAGTCGGTCTGCAAGATGGGAAGGGGACCAACATGCTCTATTCGGCGTTCTTCCACCACAATTATTTTTACTACAACTTTTTTAATCCTATGTCCAAGTGTTCCATACTCACAGTCAATCAAGTTGCCCCTACAGGTTGTACAATATAACGACGATTGGTTCTTGCATTGCAGATACAGCATGTGAAAAAATCTTCCCACAGTGGATTTGAACGTCTACAACACCATGTGACAGGCATACAAATGCACGTTCACATGCTAGTCCACACTTGTAATAACAATTACCGACAAAAGATAGGAGGAGGAGGAGAAAGAATGTCCTGTGCTTTGGTGGATAGGCAATTAGCATTTGCCAAGCGCCAGTTTCCTCCTATAGGTGAATGTAGTTTTTGCTCGTTAACTCTACTGGAGAGAGGGGAGGGAGAGGGGAGAGAGTTTTAAGAGTTGCCCCTGTAAGTATGTTTGTGCACGCAAAGACTTTCTCAAACCACACTGAAAATGCAGGAAATGTCAAAGCCAGCTTAACACTGCAACTGAAAAGATGTTCCTGCCAGCTCGTCCACAATTTGTCAATTCATTCGAAGAAGAGGTGTCGAAACGGAATTCAATTTTGGATAGCAGTGCAGTTAATTCTTACTGACTATGAAGTGAGTTGTGGAATGCAAAGGTTTGTAAGCCAATATGCGAAAAAAGGGGAGTTGGTGTTTTCGTTTTTGCATTCCTTGGCCTTCAGATCTGAGGGTTGAGTACTTTGTGACTAGAGTTTTGCTGACTATCTGTAAACTGGCAAAGCCCCTGTTTCAGCTAGTCCTCTTGAAAAGTGCAAGTTATCCACATGCGAGAGTAAACCAAGCTAATCATATATAAACAAGCATACTATTAATGGAAACTTCATTTTAAGACAGTAAATGTGTGAGAACTTTTGCTCCGTTACTACCGTGCATACATACACACTAGAATTCTTTAGCACCTCATATTACCCATGAAACCACATTAAAACAGATGATTGGAAGTCCGCAGGCATGGCGGGGTGCCTTCAAAACAGATAAGGAACCCCATTGTTTTTAAACTGAAGGAGGAGACCGTGGAATAAAGTGTAGAAACCATCATATTTAGAACTTTATTTAGTATCTTTTCAGACTGCCAATCTTAATGCATTTACCAAGTTGCATATAACGACAATCTTACTAGAGTATAAAGCCATTTTTGCTTAGGCAAATGATTAGTTGAGTTAGTAATAAAATTAGCGTGCGGCAAGCAATTGCTGTTACAGATGAATGCATTAATAACTGGCTATTTAGATTAATAAAATTTTAGCTTTATTTCCCGCTCATTGGGAATGCATCATTTATTCATAACGAAACGAAAATAGAAAAAGCTGAGGCTAGTAAGATCATGTAATTAAAAATAACAGGCTAATATTGTTAAGGATGAAATAAGCAGCTTTTAATAGCGTCTGAAAATGGTTATCGTAAAGCCTTCAGTACCCGGATGCTGCAATATCATTCGTCGAACTACCGCTACTGGAACACAACGATTGGTCAGTTCGATGACACGCGCGCACTTGCATGCATCACTCTGGCAATGCGATTGCATCCGTGTGCGCACGCGCCTCTTGCACTTCTCCTCTTCTCCCCCTTGCGAGTGCGTGTATGTTTTGGGATGCCTACAGGCGCGCACGCTCGCACGCTCTAGTAGACATCAGGTTCTGCTTCTGAGAGGAATGGAGCGAGACAGGGTGGCGTCTCGCCCGCCTACCCCTGGCACCGGCCAATTGTATTTCGCCTCGGGGTACATCTTCGCACTTGCCTCTCAGAAAGGCGCCATTTGCCTTCCCCTCTCTTACCTCTCGCAAAGGAGAGTTTACAGCTTAACCGCACTTCTTTGGTGTGTTGAAAGTTTCACCCTCGTCATCTCTTGCTGTGAAGCCATGTTTATCCTCAGGTAGGCTATGGTCCATTCATTATAGGAATCAGTTTCAGAAGCTTGCATTAGCATCGCAATCAAACGCAACCGATAATGCTAAACTTTTACTTGCTCAGCACAGTTTAGAGCCCCCTTTGAGATCTCAATTTACAGTTTCTAAATAATGCTGAGGTTCTTAGATAAAGAGAGGTAACCGATCTTAATGTCTCAACTATTGGTGGCATGAGAGGAAGGAACAATCCAATGCATAAATTTGGGGAACGAGTTTTCAAGTATATACACTTCAAATCACCATGTGGTGAAGTATAGTCTGATTATTTGAAACGATACCACAGAAAGTATGCTAATTTAATCCTACTTTGGACAAACCAAATGCCTTAAACTGACATTTTATGAATTCTTACATGCAGCCAAAGTTTAATGCAAACTTGCAAAACAGTTTGATACCTATGTGCTTTCGATGTTCAACCTAAAGTCATTGTTAAATATTTAGACTTGCAATTGAAGCGTTTCATTTGGTGGAGACTGAACTCTCTAACGATTTGCCATCAAGGGAAGAGAAAAAGTATTCCAATTCATCAAGTTTCCCTTCCCTTGCACTACCCCACTATGTAGACCCAATCATTTTCCACTTTGGTCGGAAACGACCCAGTGATAGTGGTGCTTTCGATGCTCGTCAACACCTCTTTAGCCCCAAGCGACTATGCTTCGATGCCTCATTACAAATCCCCGCCTCTACTCTCCTTCATAGCGTCATTTTGGGTTGTGATGATCCCTCTACGGAATCTAGAAAAAGGAATCGACTTTGTTCCTATCCTACTACTCTTAAAAGATCTCAAACTACCCGAAAACGCATTCCACTTAATGGCAACTTCCACAATACCAATCAGGGTGCGCTGCCTATGTCCACACTGACATACCAATGGCTTGTGACAGCGTTTTGGGGTCAAATGCTGGCCGCACGAGCATGGACGCCACCAAAGGAGGAACCGCTGGATCTCTCTTGCAAGCAACCAAAATCGCAGTTCGTTAACAGTAACGTGTTTAGTAGCATACGGAGGCTAGTGGAACCACTGGAACCTACTCCTACGGATCTGGATGCGGAAATACGAAGGTGCAACACTTTTCCTCAAACCTTCTGTAGGACCGCTGTGGAAGTATCACCCCGGAATTTGCCACTGGAACGATCCTGTTTGCTGCCAACTTTTGAAACCTTGGTGAACAGTGCTCGACTTTTTAATGATCTCAGGTCGTGTTGTCTGGGTGCCGTGGATCAGATATCGGAACCTAAAAACCTCTGTTGCGACGCGTTGGTAAGTTGATGGGAGAAAAGAATGGGTTTAATGATTCTGTAAAGGCTGTTTTCAAAATTTCTAAGTAGTCGTCCAAATTTTGTTTTGGGCCAGACCTACAGGCAACTTCTTTACAACTTTCACTTTATCCTAATCAGTCTTATTCTTTTGCCATTTAGGCCGATTCCCAACAACGTTACCGAAATTCAAAGGTCCTGGGAATTATATGAACTCCATACCATCTCCCTATTTTGTAAATGTGTCTCTCAAAAGCATATATATTCCGTAATTTTGTATAGTTAACCGAAGGAGAAAATTACTATTATTTGTTTAAAACAATTTTTTAGAATAATGAATGTCTAGCCGCAGTTATAGACTTCCTAAAGTCAAAGGAAGAAGAAAGGCTAGATGACCTATCGGCACAGCCCGATGGTCATGTTACTTAGGGGAAGCACAATCGTGGAGCCCTAAGTGGCCGTTTAACTAAGATTAGAAAGTTAAGACCTATACCCCATCTGTAAATAGATGAATGGGAACATTCATATTTAAATAGGGCTGTCCGATGAGTAGCGCAGACCGTTTCGTGGCGTGAGAAATAAGCGGTGATTCAAGCGACAGCGCGGTTGATTAGGTGATAAAGAACTTTTTGACAAGCCTTAAAGATGGAGGTAAGACTATAACAAAAAGTAGCAACGAGGACCGTCATCTATTTTCCAGTGTATATTGCGTGCTATGAATCAAGGTACGATGCCGAGTAGCCGGAGCAAATTCGATATGGCTAGGACAGGACTTTGTTTTTAGGACAAAGTCATCAATTCTCTAGTTCGCCTTATGCCCTCAAGCAAAAGTTGAGATCTCGGTTCTAATATAACTTTGCTGTTATATGATGATGGAATTTGCTTCACCAAAGTTGCCAGTTCAACCGGTACTTGAGAGGTAAGGTAGGTAACTACCCTCAAAACAGGAACCTTTTGAAACCACTTTTCATGTCGCGTGACATGCGACTCTGTTCTCTGTACGCTTTGACTCATCTAGCTCTCATAAGGTAACAAAATCCAAATGTTGCTTGTATTTGATATGTGTTTTGCAATAAGGAATTTAGGGTGTCAAGCGCATACAGTGCTAAAGGTAAATGCATCATAACATGTGCTAAAGAAACTTTCTGCACCACATTTTCTACTTTTATAGCCGGCTCAGACACGAGTGTCTAACCTCAAAGGCTTGAGACCAGTCGAACACTTTAAACCCCTTCTTTAATGCCAATCCAGCACAACAGTATCGGAATAAAAATGTGTGGTTTGTCGAACACTTGTGTCAAGTTCAAAAGATTTAAGTCAAGTTTCTCGAAATCTGTTCGGCATTTAAACTGATTTGGGTTCAAATGGGTCAGTAAAATTTAGCAATGGCGTAATTTAATAATGTACTCACTTTACAACAGTGCTAGGTTAATCAAAAGTGCAACATTTTAAGGGATGCTAGATAAGTGGTTGAAATCGCTGGATGACATGTTGAGTCGGAACTTTCAAGCAATGGCTTTTCGAACATCATGCCGATAGTCTGTCCCGGGTTGAGTTTCACATACTGTTCTGCTTTTATCGCAAAAGCATGGATCAAACTAGATTTAAGCTACTTTATGATTGGTAAGCCTCTTCCAACACAAGAGGGGTTCATTTGGGGGATGAGAGCCTTAGCTGTAATATAGACTGTGTTTGAAGGACTCTTGGAGGAGGAAGGAGGAAAATCGATTCAGAAGCTGTGCCTGAGGAGTCTGCCGAGGAGGAATCTTCCCCCAAAATGTGAACCTGGCCTTTCGAACACCTTCGTACTCAGTGTAGATCTTACTGATGCCAAATAAATCTCTACCAAAGAGAGTCTCCTTTTAAAGCCCTTGAGAGACGAAGCTCAAAATGAGACCAGCGGCTACACAATATCACCTACCCCAAATCAGGGAGAATTAACATTGCACAAGTATGTAGGGAGATCTGTCTAATCCAACATGAGCACAATTTTGTAAAAGTCAACTCCATTAATCAACTTCTATTGCACTACTGTACCTGTTTTTAAATGCATTATTCCAAAAAGGATTAGTGACATGGAAGAGCGTGGCAGAATTGTGGCAGCATTCCAACTAATTTGCTTAATTTCCACATTCGCAAACGCATCCATGCAACTATTCTATAACTACATCTCACAATTGACAATAAATTATGAAAAATCTTTATACCTAGGTCACATTTTAAGGCCTAATTGTGAGGTTTCTTGTCACTGTCTTGGCATTTCTCCACATAAGGCATAATTTTATTTTAGCTGCATACATTTTGGACTTTTTTGGCAAAGGACCTAAGCATTTTTAAGGTCGACTAATACACATTTATGTGATGGTGTGACAACAATTGGGCATTGCTTCTTTAAAGTAGCACTAGTCATTCTTGGTGAAGCGGACGCTTAAACTGAATCTGGGTTGTGGCGGGGTCCATGACCGCCTTATTAGTTATTTACCTACAATCCGCCAACTAATTCCATCTTATTACGAAGTTCAGCTTATTTTTGAAAAAGTACATTAAAGTTATGCAGTGATAAGGGTGAAAATTGCCATGTAGGTCGAGTTTTCTGCTATCTACCACATGCTAATATGGGATCAGGCGAGCTTCATTAACGATGACTCATTGACCAATACCGAACCAAAAATCACACATTAGCAACAATGAATAAACGCACTTTTTCTTTCATTCATGTCAAGAAAAATTTACATTAACCTTAGCCTTGCGTCATTAAGTTACATCTCCTTCCACTTGAATCCATCTTTTAGGAAATCCGATAGTCTTTTGGTAGAAGGGTTATTTATTCACTGCAAAAGTATAAGCGGATCTGTGGTTGCATAAGGGCCTCAAATTCTCCCATTGGTATTTAAGTAGGCATCGATAAATCTGATCTCAAACGGCACCTTTATGGCCTCTAAACAGCTGGTGAAAGGTGATCTAGCATTAAGTTATCGCTGTAGATAATATTCAAAGGCATGCACTTAAACAAATGTAAAAAACTAGAATATAGGGTATTTTGCCGTCATTTTAGTTGATGATGGCAGTCTCATTCGGCGTATTGTTAAATAGGCCTGACAACCCTAACTAATAATTAACATTAACATTAATTAATATTCTTCTAAAGTTGTCATTGTTGCCATCTTTATTTTCTTCTACCACTGAAATTCTGACCAGATTGATACGTCCGAAGCTAGTTAATATCAAGCGCAGCTAAAGATTAGGCAAAAAGCTATTTTCTGAATTTATTTTATCGATTTTAAATGTATAAAAACTATTCGCCCAGAAATTTTAACAGGAGAAACGGAAGACTGCTGTTTAATTTAGACATTACCAATTTGCACCCATGACCCCACGCTAGATAACGCTGAAATCAATTCGTCGCATATACAGAGTTGCATGAAGGACTCTACCAAACTGGAGTTTAAATGCTGTATAATTCAAGCAATGATGCGTAATTTTGGATCGCTTATTCCACAACTGAAATTCATTTTATTGACACATCAAAGCGTCGAATTTATAAAGCAGTGAGGGGTTGCTTGGTAGGCAGTCTATGCATTGGGAAAAGGTGAATGGATGTGGCCATGAAGCGACGGTGTTTCCAAGATAGTTACACTAAGGGTCCACTTTGAGCAGGCTATAACACGCCATCTGATGGCAATCTAGATGGATGGAAGAATGGAGGGGGAGGGGAATGGGTGGGAGAAAAAAAGGGTTTGGCAGGGAGCAGAGTGGAATTGCCTCCTATTCGAGGGCGGTATATCCCCTCCCCTACCTCGCTTGCCTCTTCGTGCTTATCTGACTGCCATCTGTGCTTGTTGTACCAGGGCACACCAAATAGCCAATGGGTCGACCGATTTGTGATCACATCAACAGTTGGTGAGACATTTTCTAGAGGTTACAATACTAAACATCAGCGTTATTTCTGCAAAATTATTAAAGACACCTGCTTCATCAACTCTCATTCATGCTTAACCTATGTAATTTTTTAAATATTTGCAAAGCGTGACACTTAGTAGTTATGCATTTTTCGCAGTCGAGTTAACACTACGTCTGTAACATTTTAAATGAAGACTCCAAAAATGAAGCTGCCAAAGCTTCCATAGAACTACAACTCAAGGGTGGGAAGCATTTCTCGAAAATGCGATTTAGTACCAATTAATCAAAGTAACACATTGGGGTTTGATAAGCTGTCTGACCCCACGTTTAAGTGCCTTGGCAACAAAAGTCGTTGCCTTTGTGCGGTGTCAGTGCTTGTGATGGTAAAACGAGGACTTGGAGAAGAAAATGACGAGCTGACAGCACAACCAGCTAATCAGGTTGCATCCCCAAAGGTGTCTACACTGCATTGATATGAGTTGAGCATTGTGAGGTTTACATACAAGCTTGGAGATAAAAATTACGTAGTGAATATGCAAAAATTTAGAACCCAAACGAATCAAAGGCATAAGGATGTTTAAATGAAATCTGCAGCATGTCAACCTGGTACAAAGCATGGGTAACCTTATTTTTTAACAATGTGATGTTAAGGATACATAATTTAAGACAGAAGTGGGTTCCGTTTTATAGCACTTGATAATTTAATGATTAATTTAGAGGACTTATTGTTCTAGGGGAGGAGGACAACTCTTCGGCTCTAAACCAAGAATAAAATTTTCCTTCTCTACTTTGGACTTAGTTCTCTTACTTCGAATGGCTATACTCAATAAATCCAAGAGAGAAGAGTAGAGTAACGTAGAGGCAACAAATATTGCATGTATCAGTAAAATATGACTCCGTATGTAATGCTTTATTCCTGTAGCCACCTGAAATCCGGCGGTTACTTTAAGATTCGTCTCACCATTGTTTGCGCACGCTGGCCTTCGAGCCAAGCTCAGGCTTAGTTCCTTTATTCATCCTTGGATACATATATTCAGCTCTATTTACTGCCTTCCGCTCTGCAGGTAGTCTCAGGACGCTCACTGTAAGCAGATGCAGACCTCATCTCCACGATAGCTTGTTCAAAAATAAAGCTGTTTTAATGGCTCCTGAAGTGTGACTAAACTAGGAATAAATCGAATCTTAAAAGGTTTCCCATTTAATCGGGTAGACCATCACAAGTAAATCCATATTCCTTAAGGGGTGAACCAGGAACTGCCTGGTATTCTACATGGTTGTGAGCATTACCTCATCGGATGTTAGCAATTTCGGCAGCACGTCAATCTTATGGGTCATTCTCAAAGCACGCACAGAAGCTTCCCGATACTTCTACCAACTAGAGTCTTTTATGCGGCACACATCAAATCGACTTGTAATGCTATGAATTTTTCACAACTTATATGACTGGCAGCCACTTTGTTATTCATCTTGTTCATGGATGGGTTGGCTGTTCTTCGGGCCACGCCAAAACCTCACGCCCTCCCTGCTCCCTGACCACAAGTATTCAGTCATAGATAATGCTTTCCATTACCATGTGAGAGGTTTCCAGACGCTCAAATACTAGTACAGCCAAAATCAAGTGCTGATGCTGTATTTGTAGGATGATCTTTGGGCCATGCTCTGGCCTAGTCGCTTCGTTCTCTTCGGAGTATATGTACCAGCCTCACTTACTGCCTTTTCCACTCGGTGGGAGGTCTCAGGCCGCTACAGCAACCACCAGACATGGGAAGATTGTTAAAGCAGTCATTGGTCAGGTTCTTTTCAATTATGAGGGCTTTTTACAAATATATAGTGAAAAAAACTGGGGTTAGAAAAATCATCTAATTTAGACAATAGTAATTCTATAAGTGCATCATTTGAACAAACTGAGACCCAGTCATCAAACAATTTAGTAATATTTTACTTTTATATGCATTTATTTCGGGAAAAAAAATCGCGCAGGGTTTGCAGGCTCGGCTGAATATAAATGCTGAGTTTAAATTTATGTACGCGTTGACATAAGTAATGTTGATGATGCGTAGGGGTCGCATTTAGCAAAGTTGTAGTGTCTGTCGATTCACGGTCTTGAGTCTCATTTGGTTCGTACATTCCTCTTATCCTCTCGCTTTCAGGTCAAACTGTCTTTCATGCTAACTTGGTTAACCAGCAGAAAATAATACTTTGCTTTTCCAGAATTTCCACACATGCATATTGAATTTATATCAGCTGCCCTTGTTTGTGTTTCGGCGTAGCTGCATTTGCAATCCGACGACACCGTCGTAGGGTCATGTCTCCGTTTATGTGGGTTCCAACCGCACACGTCTTTTCTCATTTTGGTGGAAAAGGACTTATTTTTCCCATTTTTAAACAACTGCATAATAATCATATTCGTAAATCAACTTTTCATTAAGCTTTTATTTTGGATAGTAAACTATCTGGGTTCATTGACACAAGTTTAAATTTTCTCCCACTTAACTGGGGTTATTGTCGCTTCGTACTTATACGAATCGTCAGGTGTTCTATTAAGGGCTCCTAATGGGTCAACTTCTATCGGCCGTTCCCGTCGATAAGTGGGCCTTGTTTCTTCCCCAACGCTGTCAATCCCAGCTTGCTGCCCTCATTCCATCTTCTTGGCGGGTTGATACTGAGAAGAACCCTGGTTTGGTCTTTTACGTATTTAAACTATTTACTAGAGGAGTCGGAAGGGCGACATTTCGACCTAGTCGATCTTCCACCTGAGCTTGCATTATCAATTTTGTCGCATCTTAATCCCACTGATCTTTACTTGGCCTCTGGCGTTTGGTGGAACCTCGCTTCGAACGAGGTACTCTGGCGAGGGTGAGGAAATGCTTTCCGTTTTGTATTTGCTATGCGTGGTCTTAATAATGTGTCTGCCTCTGCTGCTAACTTGTTAATCCATCCTCAAAGTGTTGACTTCGGTGGAGCTACTCGCATTATAACTTTCCAGGTTGTGTCGAGCCTACTGGCCTTTCTGCTCAGTCTATGAGACGTGGCAAGAGAAGCCCAATTTTTCCTTCCGAATTCTCTTTCTCCGTCTTGATGAGGCTCGATTAACCTTCAATAGTGACGCCTTCGAGGGGATCCGTTACCTTCAGGAGAATGAAATTCTCAAAAACGATATTCATCACGTTGCTCTGTACCTCCACGTCACTCCTGGATTAGACCCAGTTCAAAAGAGGCGATATCTCGAAGCTGGGTGGGCACGTGATTCAAATATAACTTTTTATTCGGTACTTTTTGCTAACGTAAGCACTCACGTGTATGTTTGCAAATTTCGAGCAATAGTGAAAGTCGTCTCTAATTACATACAATATTAAACTGGACCAGACTGCAAAACACTGCACGGATTCAAATTGGTACTCAGTGTTAAATGGATGTTTAATTTCTCCTTCTTTTGGTTATGAATTCAAATCAGCAGTATAGAATAGGGTAAAGTCTGACTGGTTTTAAGTAGGCCCCATGGGCATACTCATTTTGCCTCACCATTATGTTCTGTTAGTGCTACATGTATGATATTTTGCGCATTGTCAATGTTTAGCCAATTAGTTAGTAGCCGAAGTGCTTCAGTTAAGTACCTCATATTAAAAGTTAAGCAACATGAATCTGCCACTTAATTAAACTAGGTTGGCGTAATTCACTGCAGCGTTGGTAAGATTCTATGGTTGAAGTCGATGTGTCATGACGGCTGTAAATAGGAATCCAACACACTCTTCACTCGAGGTGGCAGTAAGAGTTTAAACAGATGGCAGAGCAGCTAAATGGCTAAGCACTAGGACACACAAGCAATAATTTTCAGTACAGGATAGAGGTTATGATATACGAGTACAGTTTTGGCGGAACTGTTTCTCATAAAGCTTCGGCTAACGGGTCAGACGTTTTATAATTACATCATCAAGACACACGTAGAATTTTTCGACCTAAGCTTGTATATGTATGCTCTTCTCTAGTCCGGAGGTGCTGGACGAAGTGATTCGCCTGAAGGACTTCCGCAGCGCTTTCCTCCCGGACGCTCTACGCAACCTCTTTACTGAACTACCCAACCCGGAGAACGACACCAACAACTTTATTCCTCGACTGGTCGAACGCTTCTCAGAGCATTTCGCTCGCTGCAATCCTCACATTGGTCTTCGTCCAGGTTCGCTATCCTTCTTTTTCATACCCTATGTTTTCTATTGCAAAATCGAGGCAACGCTACTTAAAGATCCTCATAGTCTCAACTCTAATAGTCGGTTGCATCTCTGATTTGAGAGTTAATCGTAACGACATGTTTCGAGAGAACCTCACTCGGCTATTTGGATCCACTTAAAATATCTAGCTCCAACATCTTGTTCTGCTGGATTCACACAATGGCTGGGACAATGAAGTCACTAGCTTCAATCTTATTCCTGATTTTGCGTAATTTGCATAACAACGAACCGTATAATTGATACCATGGTGATAAATGGGAACTCCACGTATTTTTAGTTTAATCCAATCATGCTCTTAAAATTGTTAGTTAATGATTCTTCGGAATCTTGACTAGCATTGTTTATCGAACCTGCTTTCTCCTGACTGATTTCGTCCTATCCTCTTTGCCGCATAACTATTTAAGACGTTAGGACAGCTGATTCGCTTTAATGCCTTGCCTACAAGCGCAAGTTGAGTTACCTGCGTTTTCCATCCCCTTGGATCACCCTGCGTCCCGTGACTTTGAAATCACGTGGTTAAGTACAGGGAATGGTTACCTGATTTTGCCAAAAAGCAGGAGTTGAATGAAACTTTTCAAACACATGCCCGCATATTTACACTTGAACCTGCACGTGAGACCGCAAAATCTTGACGGTGACGTAGTGGAGAAAACGTTATTTTAAACTCATTAGCCGAAAATGTGTGGGGCCTCATTCTGTTCTGTAGATTTTACATTGGCATGCTTTCTCTTACTTTGCAGATTTTCACTCCTTCTAGAGGGAGACTTTGTCCATCATCATTCTATTGCAATTACTGCTCTTTTTTCCCAATCATGGTTGTGTTGCCGAGGTTCATCGGACAGTACTCTTCCATTCCATGCAGTTTTCGGTATTTGAGTAAAAAAAGAAAAATTACACTTCCAAAAAACTCCTTTATAATCCTTGCTATTTTTACATTGGTTGGATTTTTTTAATTCACCAGTAAAATTTCTGAAAGCCTTGTAGCGCCCCCTTTGGTTTGACGGAAGTGGCGCGTACGATTTCGGTCTTTAGCTTGGTTGTACGAAGTGTCTGGAAGCGTTAATGGCAGGCAAGATAATGCAAAATCAGAATCGGTGTTTGTTTTTCATGCCTATCTGAGTAGATTTAATAAAACCTGAATCTGTAGGAGGAAATGGAAGCGTATCCTAATCCATTTATTTCTCTGTTTCAGATGTTGTATATGTGCTCTGTTTCTCGTTGCTCATGCTTTCGAAGGATTTTGCGAGTCCACAGATCAAGAACAAGATGTCCAAGCGCGAGTTTATCCGCAACACGCGACGAGCGGTTCCGTCAGCGGATGAGGAGCTGTTGGGTCACTTTTATGACAACGTCTACATGGAGGGTGACATCGCCACCTGGGTGACGGTGAAGAGCAACGGTTTGGCGACCTCCACATCGCCCCCGACATTGCAACGAATGAATGGAATGCGCAACACTCCCCGTCCCTACCGCATCATCGCGCTCTCTTAGTGAAACCGTGCACAAAGTCACTCATTTTCATGAAAAGTATCATCAGTCTTTCGCTCACTTGCCTTGCGTCAAGACACAGACGATCATTCACACGTGATCCCACCGTTCCAGTTTTGTGATAATTTTACGTGTACACAGATTACCGCGCGTGTGAAGATGAAGGCACTCAGATTGTTCTCGAATGTTGGCATTCAGTATTTTTAACCTCGATTCCCTTAAGAGAATATTAATAATCACTCAGGCAAAGTAAAACGGCTTTTAAAGTTTCCATTCTCTCTCCATCGCAGGAGAGACGTTGACGAGGGATTAGAGTCAAGTATGGGTAAAATTATATACTTCCACGGATTCGCAACGCTTACAAGTCGTGATGGGATTAAGAGCATTGCTTGTGACTGAAAACCACGGGCAAAGTTGGTTTGTAGAGATCATACCCAATCAAAGCACAGCTGGTGCCTTCACAAAAGCAGCCCTGCCTTTGCAATTTTCTGAATACAGCTAATTAAAACGCCACGCTCAGGTGGGCTATTTCACGTGTTGTTAGGATCTGCTGACTTATGCTGGAGATACGGCCAAACGAGTTTAAGGGTTGCGTACTGACAACTCAAACTGCGATCAGCTCGCTGGCCTATGAGAGTAAATAAGAAAAACTACACCACCAGGATAAGATAAAAAGGGATTGAACTGCGAAAAGTGATGCTAATTCATTTCCAGCTTAAAAATAACCACAAGTCATGATGAAGAATGGTGAATAGCTGATCATACGCGACCGGTGGGATGCGTAGTCTCGAAAAGAGAAAGGAGGATATAGCGCATTATGGTGAATAGATCCCATAGAAGAGGCCGAAAGGGCGTCTATGCTACTGAGCAGTTAACTGCAATGTTGCCCGAATTGCCCAGGGGCAGCGAATCTCCAATAATGACGGCGAGAGCGCGGACCATGTAGGCCATAGTACCGAATCGACCAGCCGGTGGGGTGTCGTAGAAGTAGTGACAGATGTGGTGCGAACCGCGACATTTTTGCTGTGATGGGATCGCCATCAATGGGGCTTTATAATTGTTCGCTAGACCCATCTTGCGTGTAACACCCGAGGGATTGGACTGTGTTGGAGTGGTTGAGAGTGCCTCGTCTTCGAGCTCCGTACCCGATGCCGACCTGGAGGCGCGAACCAGAGAGTTAGCACAGCACAGCGTCGCATTGGCTCCGTGGGCGGCCTGTCATTAAAAGTAAGGGGATAATAGTAACAGCTACTCCCCCACAGGTTCTCACATATTTCAGTTAGCTTAGTCAGCAAGAACGACCAAAGACGGTGGTAAATGGAGCATACTGTAAAGAAAATGTTAGTGACATCACAGGAATGTTTCAAACCCATAACACTAACACAGCATTGACAACGTCGACATTATTCTTGAAGAGTCGATTATAGGAATGAATAACATCCATTTGTTTGACACCTTGGTATAAAAAAATACCAATTCATGAGGAAAGCAGATAGCCTACATTCGTGACTAGCCTCTCACAACAATTCTTAGAAGGACAACAGCTTTTGAGACAAGCTTGGTCTGAGTTATTCGCCTGAGCCAAAAGTGATTCACTGTCTCATGCAAAAAGAGCCTCAAAGGGCCGTATCGACATCATACCTGATCCTCCAGGAAAATGTGATTGGCCTTAGCCACAAGATCATCAAGGGAGACGATACAATTGAGCTGAATCCGCGCCTCCTCGTCGTGAGTAACTAGAGCACCGAGAACCGTGGTAGCCTCTACCAATAACTGGCGATACTCTGGTGTCGGAACAGTGTTGATGAAGGACTCTACCACTAGTGCAAACTTCAGTTCTTCCTTGGTCATCTGCAGTGATGGTTAAAGCAGCGTGATAATCAAACGTGAAGTCTTTTGGCCTTGGCAAGTCATATTCAATGCCAAAGGGGAGGAAATTATTACCTCTTTCGTGAGCGTTGTTGTTAGCGTGTTTTCACCAATGCGGAGTCCTTGAAGACGTTCAAGGATAGTGTAGGTACGTTGGAAGAACTGTGGCGGAACACGGTTAAGCGATCCATCAATTTTGCGTCGCCGTGACCACAAATCGCGAACTTCGCCTGGAGGTTCGATGGAGGCCGTGACAGCCAAAGATCCGGCGCGAGCCCGTGTCCCGCCCATGCTGCGCAAGGTTCCCGTAGGACTCTGCGGAATCGAGATGGCTGGTGATGTCAGGTGGGATAGATCGTAGGGTGAGTCAACCTTTAGGAACTGCATTAAGCGGAAAGAGGGAAGGAAGGTGGCATTAACGATCGCAGTCTCGAAGACCTCTAAGCAAGCACTGCATTATAAACCTCCTTCAAATGTCCAGAACTAATGATTAAAAAATAAATCCAAAAGATAATTTCTCAAAGAGCTGAAAGCCTTATTAATGGTGACAACTTCTCAAATTTGCTATGCCCGCTTGGCAAACCAATCACAATGCACTCAGAGACAAGTGAGCTACCCCAAAAAAGGGAGCGATTATGAAGTCTTTCTGTTGCCTTAATTTTGCAAACGGACAGAGCAAGCAGTGAATGCATGAAAGGCAAAAAGTGGCACTTACTGCCGAGGACTTGCGGCGCGAGGCGGCTAAAAGGGTGAGAAGAACGGTTGGTCCTTATCTCAGCGAAAAAAGGGAGGGTAAGTATCAAGAGGGTAGGAAACAACAGGCAGGTACTTGGACCAATCTCCAGAGATAAGAAGAAAGCAAACAAAGCCTACTACGACGAAATGCAAGCACAACTACAGCAGCAGCAGCAGAAACAGAAGCAGCGAAGGTTTAAATAAATGCTCCTCAAGAACTAATGTGCTGGTAGCAGAAGAAAGGAATCGGTGAGCCTGGGCCAGTCGGAGTTTTGTTCTCATTAAAAAAAAATATGATTCAGTAAACACGTTATACCCATACCGAAGTCAAAGTCATGATGTGTCTACGATAAGACCCATGCAAGGGTTCATTAAGTAAAAGATTTAGCGTTAAAACCATTGGGTAAATAGGGAGATGCAATCCTTTTCAACGCAAGGCACCAGAGGAGGGGTGGAGGGGAAGAGAGACTACCAAGGAAAACAACTTACCTGAGGCTAGAGTTATTTGGCTTCCTATAAAAAGTTTGCGCAGAGTTATAACTGTTGGTATTGAAAACAGAAACTGATAGCAGCGAGGTTTCAAAAATTATCTATGTTTCAGAAAGAGGAGTTTAACGGTGAGATGTCAAATCTAGCGATATGGATACTTTAACAATAATAGTAAGCAGTCAATAGCATTCACAACACAATGGGCCTAATGAACGATGAAATGTGGAGCATTGAATTTAATTACCGTGTTGAAATACCTACATGTAATGAATGACAAATGACAACAATCTAGATGTGCAAACAGTGCTTCTAATGCTTGCTCAAACCATTCACTCAATCATCCCAATGCAGAAAAGCACACATAGACTGTAAGCACAAGGAGATGGATAATAATGGGAGTGAGGATAATAGGGCAATCCGGTGTGGAGGGAGAAGACTAACTTACCCCAGAATTCGTCTATGGAAGTAACAGTAATGGGGTGACTGAATGCAAAGTCTGTAGAGATCGATGAGAAATACAGCCATACGACTGACTCGATAGCATTCATAGAAAAAGACTAGTATAATCACCATATCTGGTACTAGAAGAGGAAAATTTAGCCGCACAAAGATGATCCATCAGTCGACAATTTTGAAAACATCTTTTTTAAAAGTGCCTACTTTAGTCCCAAGGCCGTGAAATTGAACAGCCATTTGTCATCAGTAGTGGCTCATGACCAATTATTCAGCCGATTATCATCTTTTATTTTCACATCAAGAAAAAAGAATAGAACCATTTTGTACATGGACAACTGCAAGTAGATGAATTCATATTTCCCCAAAAATGGGGAGCATTTTGACCACCAATGGTGAAAAAGCCGTGTGACATCAAACAAGCCCTTCGCATGGTGACGCAACATTTAATAAGCTCAGAAGTGTCACGAACGCGGAAGTTCCATAAGAAAACACAAACAGGAAAACCTGGGATCATCATGTCCATAATCGAGACTTTTAAACCATGAGCATGGGTCCTCCATCAAGCAAGTACGCTACAGACATATGACTTTGAAGTTAATACAACCGAGCGTATTTTGTGAACACAAATATGTCCGATCGTCGACAATTGGCCTGCACAGTTGTTTGCAAGCGTTTCGTTTCTGTTGCTTTATTATCTTCCAGCCAGGAAGAATGCACACGAACTAGGGGTAGCATGCCTGTGAAGGAATGTACCGAAGAAAAGGAGTAGCGAAAACGCAAATGCATTTGCCGCTAGTATTAAACATGTGGTTTGGTGTAACAAGAGATCGCAATGACAGACAAGCGAAGATTGACACAAATTCCATACACCCAACGAGGTGATTAGGAACACACAATTCTCTGATTTCATCACAGCAAACGGACGCATGCACACCAAACTGCGTAAACCAAGGGAAAAACAGATTCCGTCTTCCCCCCTCCCAAAAAAGAAATATAAGTTATCGACAACTGTCATACTCATTATCTAAAAATCAGCTTGATCAAACGAACGAGTAGTGATGCCCGAGGTGGTAAAGGTACGGCAACTTCACTTACCTATCTTGACGGCTCTAATCTCGTTACCAGAAAGGAGATTTGCAAGCAGACAGTTGGTCTCATAGGGACTCATGTAGAAAAGAGCGAGGAGAGCATCCTCCACTGAACTTTCCATGGAGCGAGCCAGTTCCGTGCCCATGAGTTTGATAATAAGACCGGTTCGTAGGCACAATACATTGGCTAGTAGCTTGGGATGCGAGCGTGCAAACATTGAGAGGTGAAGGAGAAGTTCCTGTACAGAAACGTCACGTCAGCCAATGGAAACCGCTCAAATGAGAAAAAGCTATGCTATTTTCAAATAAGTACGTCTCCCGGAAGGGAGGTATGGCATTATTAGTGAGAAACAGTTTTTGAGAAGCTTATCTTTCCAATGTAACTCCAAACTTAATTATTCAGCCTAGTGACGGTGACCCTAGTACCAATAATTCTATCCATTTCTGTTCATAGAAAATCCTGCACTTCAGTACCAAAGAGACGGTTGCAAAACAATGTTAACGCTATTATTGGCTGAAAAATTCAAGATTTGGTGTCGAGGTACTCCTAAATTAACCCTCTATTAAACCGCGTGTTTGCATACCTGCGTGAGCATCGCCATAAGATTGTCCTCCCCACAGGCTTCCTGAATGAGTTGGGCTATTTGAGCCGGAGGCAATGGAGAGCTAATAACCTTTTCCCTTGGCTTCGGTGGCAACCCCACCGTGATTTGTTTCTGTAAAATCAAAATACTCGACACCGCCGTGGCCAACTGGTCGGCAATTTTCTCCAACAATCCACCAATGTAGCGGAGGAGGAACCAATCCTGACACTGACAAGCCTTCTGATATACCTCCTTAAGAAGACTACGAACAGTTGCAGGAGTTTCGCTGTCCATGCCCGTGTCCCAGTCTAAACCCTTCATCTGTTTCAGTCGGCCTAGAATCTCAGCCTGCTTGGCTAAATTTCCGGTCTGTTGGAGATATTCCACCATCTGCTCCGCGTTGAGATCGGCTAGCCATTCACAACTGACTTCAACGCCTGTGCTGCCCATGGAACCTCCACTCTGTGAGCTACGGCCACTAGAGGTCTTGCGTGGCTGATTAGTATGTGTGGAAAAGCGAAGGTTTGTGGGACGCTGAGGATCTCCACTGCCGTCACCTGAAGTGCTGTCCTTTGGACACATTATGATGCGTCGGAAAGCCGTCTCGTAGCTGGAGTCCGAATAGTTGGGAAATTCACCCACACGCAGACGGTGCAGAGTCGTCTCTTCTGTGGGATGAAAATCGTGCGCTATTCAGGAAGCATATTACGTTTCGACGCTTAAACTAGTCTCGTGATGGCGACGAAGAGCTAGAGGACTGGAGCATGTTATATAAAACACCGCTACCTCATGTAAGGTGTTGTGCGCAAGAAACAACCAAGAGTGAACTTCTTCAACACCAGATCAAACGGTGCAACATTAACCGCAACAATCACTCAAAATACCCAAAGTGTACAGCTAATTGAAGTTTAGACAAAATCGAAGACATGAAAATAAATTAAGACTGTTTACCGTCAGTTTGCGTCCGTTCTGTCGAGGTGGTTTCGTGGTCGCGCAGACCGCTTAAGTACCCCTTTTCATCCAAACCAAGTTCTTCTAGAAACACAAAGAAGTGAAGCAAAATAAACGTCGGTGTACAATTCCTTGGTCTCAAATAAATCAAAAATATTTCAAAAACCCTTCCACCTAACACCCTCGGGTGAAACACCGAAATCGTGAGAGGCTTAACCTTAACCCAACCCAATTACGCATTCAAAAGTCCACTTACCTTTGGTTCTGCATTAGGCCAAAAGGTGTTCCGGGTCCTTTTACACAACATGACCGAGACAGTAATAGAAGAATTAGTAAAATTGACTCTGCAGGTGCAGGCACTCTATCCGACATGAAACCACAAGATACTAAATCAGCCATCCAATGGTTGGGAGGAAGATGCGACGGATAAACATCACACCTAACACACTGATTTTTGAATTTGAGATTAGGAATAAAAGGTTCGCCTGATTATACAGGTGATTATGATGAAGATGGTACTGCGGCAAAGGATCGTCCATCGAATGCATGAAAATAGTCTGAAGAGCATTAAAACAAAAGCCATCGAAGAGGCGTAAATAAGTTCAGTGGTACCAAATCAGTAACCCCTTCAAAGAGTAAAGATCAGAAGTTGTAATGATCTTACACGTACGTCAAAATACGGTGAAGGTGTCGAGGCGAACAATTAACACAGGATTAAAAATGAACGGTACAAAATTCAAGGCAAAGCAGCAAAGCAAAGCAAGAATGACAACACAAAGGTACGCCCGATCAGTGTGCAAAATGACATTTGCAAGCACAGAGCCCCGAACTAGAGCCAAGAGCACCCACAGAAGTAAAGCGCATATGCGGGAGTAAACACCGACTACGTCTACTATTGCAGTGGGAGGATAAAATGCAGGATTGAGGAGTGCGGTCTGGACTAGTATTGCGACTGCAGTTACAACTGCTACAGCGGCTGGAAGACTATAAGTTCAGAGGTAGAGTGAGAGACAATACATACCACAACTGTACGCGCTCCAGGGTGATTGTCGTGGTAGCAAATTTCACCGTAGTAGAAAGTGGAAAGTGCAACAGGAATTAAACGGCAGCGGCAGCACATGCAGGATGAATTAACCCAAGACCATGACGTAAATGGAAGCTAGTGTGAATTCGATATCACGCCTATTGCATTTCACTCCAAGGAGGAAACATAACCAATAAACCTGACAGATAAATGCAACATCCACCCATCCATACGACCTCTCCGAAACCCTAGTTCCACAAATACTTAAAAGCTGAATTAAGTTCATTCAATATTGACAAGAAAACTAGGATCCAATTAAATGTTGAAGTAACTCTCGAAGATGATGAAGGAAGGCCAAGACTGATTTCTAGCGTAATGGCGGTGCTACTGATGTTTAAAGACATTTGAGTTTCAAGGTCTCGTTCTAGAAGTTCAGGTGAAAGTGCAAGTAGTGTAAACAATTAATGTCAATCGATCGAATTTTTCGCAACTGCCTCTCCAATTCACCGAGACCAATGACAGTAACCAAGATTAATGTGCATGAGAGAAGCACACCTGCAAGGCAACCGCAACCTCGCTTAATTTTCGCATCGATTCTGGTGTGAAGGCTTTGAAGGAAGCTAGTATAGAGATTGACAATATCCTACAGGTCATCGGCACTCAGAGGTTAAAAAAGTGCATCTAGCGCTTAATATGGGTTTGTTCGAATGGCTAGAAAAAAAAAACAGAAACATTAAACGCAGATGCAAGCACATGACAACATCTACTGAAGGCATACATATGATCAAACACCAGGTCAGAATGTGCAGGTGGATACCAACATACGCGATTCATCATCAGCAGCAGCCAAATCTACGGATACGGCGCAAGCGAGAGCAAGAGATTTGCGCCGGAGGCTGGTGCGCTGTATGCCCTCGTGCTCATCGCGCATTCTACCGTCTGAGGGTAGATGAATGCCCCCAGGGGAGGCAAGGCCACCTGCCCCAGTGGGAGTGGAGGCAAGGCTGGAGTAGGTCGACTGCTGATCGCCCAGACAGGTTGGCGAACTAAATTCCACACCTCGTGAATGTGGTGAGGCAAGTGTGAGACGACGATGGCGCAGCGAGCCCGAGCGTAGTACCGAATGGCGCTTCATCACAGTCTCTGGAAATTTGACAAGTTTTAAGTAGTAGCACCGAACTGAATTCGAATGATCATATCCCATCTCTCGCTCTGAAACTTCGCCTTGGTAAATTTTGGTCATGGTTTGAGCTATTCGCCATTGCTACAAGTACATGTTTTAGTGAGTTGTCGCCTGCGAAACCGATAGTTTGGTGAAAAAGGGAACCAAATAGAGCCTCGCACTGCCTTCTAAAACGACAGTTCCCATAAATATTTTGATCTAAAAATTCGAAGATAATGAAAATCAGACTAAGAAACTAGTTCATCAAAACCGTCTTCAACATTAAAATCTTGCTTTGACTTATAGTTGAAGTCTACTACAAGGGTGCATTAGTACTGTTTCGAAAGCACGTTACGTTTTGAGGAAATCAGGGGTAACAAGATTCTATCTTGAAGTCATTTAACAAGAGAATGGTTATGCAACAAAGCATAGAAACTTGGTGGTTGCACAACGCGGCCACCAAACTCTGAATAGCATGATTTCCAGAACTTGACATTGGGGGAAGTTACAAAATGCGAAGAACGCCTTCTGTAAATTCATCATACTCCATCACCAATAGTTTTAACGCCTCTTCACGAGCAGACTGCCATTGAAATGGCAAAAAATGACACCTAAAGCACATACTTTCATGGGTCATATTGCTAGTTTTCATCAACGAAAAAACTGCAAATTCAGAGTAAGGTGTTCACGTTTACCGACAACCAATGTCGATTCTTATAGATTGCGCGTCGACTTACCAGCTGATTTAATGAAAGAGAGCTTCTGTACGCAAGACGTTGCCTCAAATTGTGACATATTGCCCAAAGCGACACTAAATGGTTGGGAAAATTACTATAAGGTCATAACTGAAGTGCATCGCTAGGTGTCTCTAAACAAGATCGTTGTAACTAAAACCGTTCCCAGTTTCAATAGAAGGCTTGAAACATAAATCTGGCGATGACTGAGAGATGTAACAGCAGTTATTAAAACTAAAGAGGATAGGCTATGAAATGAACTTGAAGTTGAATACTGGCGAAAAATAGTTTTGATAGCGAGAATCAGTTAATCAGACACAGCCGATGGCAAATTGCCTGACAGTGAATGAATACTACTAATATAACCCAAACACTCGAAGGGTACTACGACATAAAGGTAAACGCAAAATTGTTCTCGATTTCTTGCAAATGAAATCGACTTATTATCTTAGTGAGTAGAGTGGTAATGTTAAAATTCCTCGTATTTTAGACGGACTGTAAAAGATGCACAACAAAGAGTAAAGCGAACAAGTGCATACCGAGTCCCGTTGATGTATCCACTCTTCACCTTTTTGATGACTGTCACCATGGCGGGAAGTAAGGCGTCGGACTCTAGACACACGGATAGATGATGCTACTGAAGTTAAATAAGTAGCACTGTATATGGGACGCACAATAAGGTAAGCAGATGTCGATGCACACGTGGACGTGACTGCAGTGCATTGCGCATTAAGAGCTACACTCTGCTGGGCGTAAACACAGACATGAACACACGCACAGATTTTGCATAACGAAAGGAAGAAACGCTGATTGTGCTTGCCCCCATTTATCGAATGGAAGCAGCAAAGAAGGAGAGCCATAAAAGAAGCTACTTCATGTGACTTGTGGAGCTTAAAAATCGCAGGACAATAAAGGAAATGCACTTGAAAACATTAGGGACTAGAATGCAAGAGTAAGAAATTTTAGGGTAAGGCCAAGTGTTGGGCCACTAAAACTGACAAGGAAGTAAATATGATGAAAATCAGAGGAAAAGCTTTTGTAAAAGATTGACCACACTCGACAAATAAGCTTGATTCCGAATAGAATAATAGGTGATTTAAGTTAAATAAAAATAGTTGAGTGGATTTGGGATGAAAAAAAGGGATTACCATACCAAGGAGATCTGCTGACACCAGAAAGTCGAAAAGTACATTGTACCAAAAACGCATTTAGTAATAACTTAACCCGACTCAATTTTGAAGGATTAATTCAAAAGATTTTGCAGCTAAAAATGAACGGACAACAAAGTCTACCCGAACGGACGAATCTCTCGGCAACAGGAAGAAGAAGGGTGGGTCGCCCAGGATAGGCCCAAACACGCCTCAAAAAGGCCACATTGGAACGAAACTCGTCGAGGGTGAAGTTTACATCGAGATTCACGTAGAAGGAGTGACTGTCAATGAACTGGAGAGGGAAAAAAATCCCAATGACAGCTTACTTCGAGGTACATTTTTGTTCTGCAAGTGCCATTCTGGTTAAGCACTTCGTCCTATTATAAATCCCACTAAAAACTAAACAAAGGGAAGGGCATAAAAAAGGAATGAGGTATAGCCCTTGAGAGGTTATTTATATGTACAAACACTGCAATACTCGTGAGAAACCCGGCGAAACTGCCACAATAGCACGATTTCCATTTCAAAAAACTAAAATGGTTAAGAATTTGACCAAGATGAAAAAATACTCCGGTTAGATAGTTCTACGTAAAAGTAGTTATGCCTTTGTTTGATAGGTCATACACGATGCGAAGGCGTGAGGTGACAAAAATGGATCAGAAGGCGAACATTTCATTGAGGTCATGACCTCAAGCATAGCAGCCGGGATAATGGACTACCTTTGATCCAAGTTTCAACGCCAATGGCAATGAAACATCTCAAGAAGCTTAATGAGAGTAAAACGGATTTTGAAAAACAAACAGGTTGATGCGTAACAGCGCTGTGATGTTGGAGCGGGCAGCATGAGGACCATTACATCTCCCAGCTAGTGCGTGTTGATAGTGATAATTAGAAAGCGGAGTGGTTGGTGAAGAACGCTCGAAGCTGTTACTGACAGTTGTGAGGGGAGAGCCTTTGGCGGGCGACTTTAAATACATGTGAATGCATAAAAACTAAAGTTAGGGTTCCATACCAGATAATAGTAATCACATCAAGCGATATACATCTGGTAGCTATAAACGGAGGTGTGGAAAATAAATAAGTGTTTAACGTTAAAGTGAAAAAAATGGCAACTCTGATACCTGTGGAGTAAATGCCATTGTAGTATTCCCAATCCTATAGAGCGAGCTTGTCGCAATCACACCGAGATCCCTAGCTGTTCTTCCTGAGAGACCAAGCTTGGGACAAACACCTTAAATAACCCAAAAACAAATCAACTTCAGATAGGACTAGTACTTTAGTAGGTGAGAATGTATTTTGTCCAATCTTCCAAAACTCGAGGACTGTTACACCGACTACTTTGCTACCGATGATCACTTGTTCTCACGCAGTAGTGCAAAACGTGTTACAGATCAGTAGTTCTAGGAAAAAAAACATTCACAAAATCACGAAACTGCCGATGGTGACAGTTGCAAAGGCGATAACAAGTCACACCAAACAAATTTGACTTCGGTGACACCACCAAAGGACACAGTTAATAAATTACGTCAATAACTATGGTAATTCAACTGTCGAGTGGGAAGAATGAAAATGTTGATGTTGTACAAAACGATGAAAATTTCGGCGTGAAAATTTTCCGAAACGGAAGCGAGACAGATGAAATACTAAGCCAAATGTTAAATTACTGACGTATCAGCAATATGAAGTGGATGAGTTCCATGTAATTCAAAGTATGAACGTAGTGAAGAGACTACGTAATGAAAACAATTAATTGCGCAACATTCACCCTTAATCCAATAATGAAGAACCATAAGTTTTAAGACAACAAACAATATCTTTACCAAGCTGATTGTAGATTTGTAAGAGCACTTTAGCCGGGTATATCTGAATCCCAGAATCACAGACCACCTCTGAGGGGGTCTGCACGTCTAGATTAAACTCAGCGAGACGCTCCTTGACTAAATCATCCTCCGCTAGTACGACAACCTGCACGACCAGGTCTGGTTTTGGCTCCGAGGCCTACAGAACATCAATTGACACCATAATGACAGCCAGTGGATGGAGAATGTGAAGAGAAGAACTTACCATTCGTCGGCCAAGAGGATCAATCTCACCAGGCAACAAAAGACGATCCATGATCAAACGCGATAAGATGTACATCGACTGACCCCAAATGTGGGGCGCCGAACCGATGGGAATACGCACCTGCGAGTTGTGAGCTTTCAGCTCTGCATCGATTTTTTCCCCTGGCAAGGCGTAGAGTTCCGGCATAAAAGGATAGAGTGTGTCGTCAGTGTCTGTGGTAGGTTTCATTGTGGTGAATTGCATCACCGGATCCTCATGCTTTTCACAAGAAATTTTCTAAAATTACAAAGTGCAAGCAGCCTTCAAAACCGAAATGACATAATAGAGTGGGATCACCTCCGAAGCATGTGCCGTCAGTTAGGCTACCGGTAGCTCCATGTATCTTGCAAACAGCCCAGAGATATCTGCAATGCCTAGTTAGCAACGGTAGCCAAAATTGGCAGCTGATAAGAGAAGCTATTTGAACACGCCAACGTCCACCGAAACCCTAATCTCAAGTCCTTTACAAAGGCTAAATCTCGATTTAAAAAAAAATAGATAAGCTCGCAAATAAACCCTCTGCACCATCCATTCATTTTCGACAAAATCTGCTAGCACGACACAGATAAGTGGACAGGATCAGAATGGCAACAAGGGCAGAAAGTCACCCCATGAAACTGCAATTAACTATGGTTCAGCATTATGAAGAATGGAAGCACAAATAATAAGTGCCCTGCATTCGTTTCAAAACATGGTACAGAATTGAGTAGCAAAAGTTAAGCAAACTCACGGCGGTGACCGCATGACCGATGATCCACCAAAAGTGGAGAACATCAGTCATGAAACACTTGACTTCTACAGTCCTGGCGGGATAATCAGAAATACCCTTTGGGATGACGCCAAACTAAATGCACAGGTGGCACCATATCCATGCTACTAAATCCAGCTGTCCCATTTCCTCTATTCGCTGACAACAATACTTGATTTCAACACGCACCATTTAACATAAAAGCATTAGTGGATAATGAAAGTTTAGCACCAATAATAGCGAAATAATGGTTACAAAACTCGTCAAACAGACAAAGACTTACCCGACGGAGCACAATTTGGTCCAGCTGGTCCATGTATTTCTTGGCCAAATCAAAGTTGTTATCAAAGCATGCACCGATAACAAGGTATGTGAAAAAGAGAGGCCACTGGCATTCTATACCATCAAACATTCGCAACTCCCAGGGCTCATAATGCAAGCGACTAGGGTCCTCTCTGGCCGTTTTGTAACCATCTCGAAGAAATCGGATACACCCATAGCTATTAGCAATGAGTGAATTGTAGGGATATTCGACAAAAAATTACAACAAACCTCCCAAGAAGCTTGGACAATACTGTGTTTCGTGTTTTCTCAATAAGCGCCTCATCGGTGACGGCGAACCCAGGATAACTTATGATTCCCAGTAGAGCTGCATCAGTTTCCTTCGAGTACGACTCTCGGGGGAGCATATTCTCAAGAACTGTGTTGCATTTTTGACACTCATCCATGAGGCAGTGAATTGTGGAGTTTGCACCACCCTGAGGTCCAAAAAGATCTAGACCGTTCAAAGACTCTAGCGCCGCCTACAAGGGCAAATGACCAGACAAATAACAACACTTTACCTTTGCAAGACCCACAGAACTGGTGTTTAGTTCTGGAAGACCATGATTGGTCTTATCACCTCGCTCCCAAATACCATAATCCTAAGTGGTAGCTAATGCAACTACCATCCACTTACTGGGATTCTTGAGGCAGGCTCGATATAAAACACAAGATTTTGAATGAAAGCAACCTCATCAACGGTCCAGATAATCCGAAGTCCTAGGTAATTGGACATTAAATGGGCGGTTAGTAGGAATATCTACCCGACGCAGTCATTTGAGCCAATGCAAGTAGGTACAACGAAACCGCATCAATCTGAAGATGTCCCCATTCATAGTCCCCAACCACAGCTTTACAAGTTCGGGAATCGAATTTCGCATGTAGAGAAGAGCTAGTACACTGAGTCTTCTTAAAGCTCTCCACCTTGTCCGCTTGGTACATGTAACACCTTAATATTCCTCTCATCAAGTTCACGACACACTAAATTCTCAGAAACAATGACTAATAAGAAACCTTTTCCAATTCATAGCCTCGAGATCGATCTTCGTCCACATCTGGAACCTTGCGATATGCCATGGATAGTCCCCATATCGAAAACGACGCGTACACATTATCCCTAACCCATGCATGGGGATTTGAAGGAGAAGCAGGAATAAGTCCCGTCACAACATCCTAAAGCACTAGATGTGTCTAAGTCTGTACCTGAAGCGAGAGAATAGTTTCGCTGATAAGTGCATAATAGTAATCCAGCTTGCTTTTGTCAATCCCCATCGAAATTAGTAATGGGGTTGTGCGATGAAAAGTGGCGCAGCAGCCTACATAATCACAGCCGGGACGCATCATCGACATGAGCTCTTGCAATTTACAATGAGACAAAAGGAAGAGGTTCGACTTTTCGATGTTGCAAGGCGAAGCACTATAAAGGCTGGCAGTAGAGATTATCAGTAAGTGGATTATCTTGTAATATTGTTGTTTTAAGGGAGTAAGTTTAATGCCGCTCACAAAAAAAATTCGCGTACTCACGTGCTTTGAGAGACTGTTTGTAGGGTTTGAACTGCAACACAGCACTACCCTAATCACCATTACTCTTGTATTGATAGCAGATTTACGTGGTGTGAAACACTCCAGTTTTCTAATAGGATGGAAACATGAGGATAAAATGGGCTGCTAGGCTGAAGTGATCAGAAATAAGGCAGGGTGGTATATGTAAAGCCTACATACCTACTCCCATGCTCTTGAACCTCGGGCTCCAGGAGAGGGTTAGTTGTGGAAGCCTTACTTGGGATTGTGTACAGAAAGAACGGAAATGGGGAGGATGGATGATCCAGAAAGCAGATCTTACCCGGAGAAGAGGTCCTCACGCTCCTCAAGCACTAGGTTCAAGTTCGAAATGATTACTGCCTCTTTCTTATAAAGGCAAGCTTAAACACCTCACCACATGTTACAGTATAAGCACCATGGTGAGCGCGATTGTAGCTTTACATGGCCAATCTTACTTGCGATTTTAAAAACGCTCCATGACACAAGAATGGCGACCACAGTAATGCATAATGGTTGACCAAAGTGTACTTTGTAGACAATAAAACATGTAAATGCCACGCTAGAGGAGTAAGAAGACTCCTCCTGGGAGAAGTGTGAATACCGCTCTACTAACGCTTAAATCACTCTCCAGCCTGTATCCATTCTGGAAGTGATTGGAGTAAAGAGGATGGTGCAAGATATTACGCTGGTAGCAGAAAAAGGATGACGCATCAATGTAGCATGACTTCGTGGTAATGCATAAAAAGGAAGGGGATTGTGGTAAAGCGGACAACCTGTCACGCACTCTCCCCATCTGTGTGTTGCAGCAGATAAAGTTACAATCCGTTCATTATTGCAAAACGAACCTAGCACTCACCAATATGGCAGTACACAACGCATCCTTACAGTCTATGAAAGGGGAGAAAGGGGAGAATAGTAAGTGCATTGGCATCATTGGTCGACTTGCAACGACCAGGAGAGGTAATGGATACATTTGGTATTAGTTGACTATTCCACTGAGGTAGCAAAGGCAGAAACCCTTTAAGCACAAGCTGTTGTTAAGACGAGGCGTGGTTCTTAGCTAAACAAAAGATACTGCAACGACGACACTGTCAAGCGTACAGCATACCTGTTTGGCTCCTGTGTCCGCAGCGCTCCCTCTCCACAAAAAAAGAAGTACGAGGAACCTCGCGCAGAGGATTAAATTGAGGCTTAAGGTACACGAACGCGTAGCTCCATCCATTGACAACGCCATAGCGACAGCCCACAGAAATGAGTAGAGCACATGGGCCGAGAGTAAACGGTACTTGATAGTACCGTACTTCATGGATGTAATCAGGCAGAAGGAAGAAGAAATAAGATTGAAGAAATAATGAAAAACACATTCAGGTCAGTATTCGTCCATGTCCGTCTCGCCTCAAAGAGGGATGAAAAGCAAAGAGAGGAGAAGACAGGAGGAAAATGCATCACTAACAGAAGTAGGTATTCAAAACATCCGTTCATGGCAGCACAAATTAAAATGCACTCATAATGAGCGCGAAAAGTGTAATTTGCCCGCCTTATCATCCGCCGACACCACCGTGGGCGCCAATAAGCAAGGACACAAATGCATCCAGTGACTGACTTTTGCGCCAGGCATGACCACTCAACTCAGAGGCTCCTTCTACTTAGTATTCTCACTTTTTGTCGTCCGTACACGCCATCTTCACCTCTGCGTAGCCCTCATCATGACTTCTGCAAATATATCCATTTGACACACTACACCCAATTATCGCACTCTACAACCATTTCTGCCTCAACACAATCTCAACTTACTTCCACGTCGCAATCCAGCCCTCTTTCCACACTGTCCTCCTCTTAGTAGGCTCTAACCAGTGTCCACTATCTCCTTTCCCATTTCTTCTACACTTCCTTAGCACCCTACTTACCATCACCTCCACTTACACTCTACTCGTGAGGACCTCCTTCAACACCACAAATGCCCTTCTCTACTCAGCACAATCCGCCTTTCCGCCCTCATCTCCTTCTTCCATCCCTTCTTTTCCACCCACCTACCCGCACCTATGTCCCATTTCTCCCACACAAGCATAAACTCCCCTTTGCCATCATCATAATTATCTTTTGTTTTAATCAATGCGTTCGCCTTCACCTAGCCAACACCTTCCCACCCTCTCTTCCTCATTTTGTTTTATTTCATTTCATTTCATTACGCTACACCTCATTTCATCCCATCTAGCCAATCCGCTATCCAACACATTCACATGCACAACGCACGCACGCACGCTCGTACGCACGCCATCTATTCGTTCTTTCATTCGTTCACTCCTTACCTTATTTATCTCCACTTATTCCTTCTTTCACCCATTCACTCATTCGATCATTAAAATCTTTCATTATTTTCTTCTTTCATCCTTTCTGCCTTTGACCCGTTTATCCTCATTCCTTTCATTGCTTACTTCATTCACATGCCTAGTGCGTCTTCGCTATCACTTAACCCCTTCTACTTACAACTTTCCAGTAGGCCTCACCTCCTTTATATATTCTATCTCACTCGTCACTCATTGGTTTCACTCCCACCCACTCCCTACTCAACCATTGGCTCCTATATGGCATTTTGTCTGTCACCATGATCGCTCCATTCCTTATTGTGCAAGTCAACGCGTTTCTCTCACTTCACCTCCAAATGTCCAAATCAGTCCAGTAAAGTCTCAATTGTTGCCCTCTTCGTCTTCTTACTTGCCATTTTCAGCCCGTCCAACAAAGTATTTAGCCTCATCATCATTTCTGTGTTCTCACAACGTGGGTCGTCGCTTCTGCGTTCATGACATTGGGAAGCACCCCAATCCCATACCATTTACTCGTGTGGTTTCGACTCCCAAAATACTATCTTCGTTCTTACATTGTGTTCCCCTTCTTTTTGCAGGTACTGTCATTTTTAATTTAATTTCATTCCATCTCATTTGCCTTATCATTTATTTGGTGGCACAGCTCTATAAATCATAGTCCTACTACTCCTACAAGTGACCATGAGGCGACAACAGATACACTAGTCCGTCAGCTTCGTGGCCACTGTTGCCATTACTGATGCCTCTTTATCAATAATTTCGTCTGTTTAAAATGTGCTCAATACAGTTCTCGCATTCCTGTCCCTCCCCTCAATTCCCTCGGTAAGCATGCTTCTGCTCTCTTCTGTACTTCCGTACTTCCTCGCAAAACCTGGTGTCCTAACCGAAAGCCAAGCTAGATTTTATGTATCCGTCTTTCCCTCTTCATTTGCCTTACCCCATTCAGGTTTACGTGTTCCTTTCCTAACAGGTACATTCAGTCCGCTGCAAGGGCACCACATCCTTTTTCGTCCTCCCTTATCCTGTCGTAACGTCGCTGCTTTTCACTGCTGTCGCCTTAGTTCCTCTACTTCCTTGTTTGTGTGTTTCAGCCTAGGCTATTGTGAATATTTTTACCCTCTTCTATGCCACTGCTCTGGTAATACTTTGAGAAAGTTATCACTTTGAACTTCTTCCTTTTTGTCTTGCCTTGTCGTGCTCACTTAGCACCTTCATTTACTTGATTTTAACTCATTTTGATCAGTCCAATGCCTCTGTGCAATCATTATTATTTGCTATCATCGTTATCATTAGTATAAAAGTGAGGCGTTAACCAACTACTTATGCCTCGTCCTCTTAAGGTTCGCGAAGTCTATGCAGCTATGACCTGTTTTTGGTTTATCAAGGCTTGACGATGCGCCCTGTGCAAGTGAAGGGGAGTGATGGAAAACTTAACGGAGTGCGACTGTCTTTGGTCTGTTCCTCTGCGTGTGTGCGTGTGTGTTTCTATCCACCACTTCACTTGGTAGTGTGTCAGCCATGTGGCAGCATAGTGTCTGTCCTCTCCCCTCCCTTCTCTCGAAACTTCACTACCTACCATCTCTTTCTGTGTTGAGGTAACACCATCCACTAGGTTAGTAGAAGGTTGGTGTGCGTGTGTATGCTGTTTTCCTGCCTTCCTCATTTCCTCCTTTATGCCCTAATTAGGGGCCTGCAATGCATTTGACGGATCAGTTCGCGTTTGCAATTACTTCTCGCCCTTCCTTTCCATTGCTAGGCTGATTGGTCAGTTGGATGGTGGTGGGTGAGAGCTGCTCTGTTGATTTTGAATTTGAGTAATGGTTACCACTGCTGTCAGCACCGCTGATGTCACAGGTGTGGATGAGGCAAGCGGATGGAGCACTGGTTCAATCATTCGTTCACTAATTTATTGAATGTCCTGCCATCTGTTACCTTGCATAGTCGAATGAGCTACTATTATTATTATATCTGTCAGACGGTGGAGGCGTTTGTTTTTGTTGCTGCTTGCATTTTGTGCCTACATCATCACCTCTTCCTCCGTTCGCTCTCAAAGGTGGCTTTTGTGGCTATCTTTTGAATGAGCCAAGATAGTTAGGATTGTCGCATTTTACTAAGAGCGACTCAGTCGCTAGCTTTGGTGTACTTCAGTCACATTTGGTGGCAATGGCAGTAACAGCGTTAGCGGTAGCAGTAATGAATGAATGAACGACTGACTCGGAGGTAGTGCTTTTCTGTTCTCTTCATTCATTTCTTTTTGGCTCATGTTGTAGTGTCGTTCCCTCTTCATGCCTTTATAACAGGTGGTGATGGGAAGGAGGAGGCGCAGTAAGCGCTGCCCGGCTTGCGAGTCTCCTTTCTACACTCCTTCATTTACCCACTCGCACTGTTCCCGTACTTCCTTTTGGCATTAACACAGTCATTTTATGTATTCGTCCAAGGCTGAAGCTGCTACCTTCTACGAGATGCAACTCACGAAAGGTGGAAAGAAGGCATTTTGGGAAGTGTGCGTTATAGTTACATAGGGATTGGAAGGAAACGAGGGTAAGGGAACGGAGAACT